ACCCTGATAGGAAAATAATCCTCAAATCACATATTTTTATTTTTATTTTTATTTCATTAACCAGGAAAGTAAAGGCCCAAAAGTCTTCGAGTTCCCAGCTAACCATCTGATTGCATTATCAAAAGCCTCAATAATGCTTTCAGAAGTTTGAAAGTTGGTGTTTTCCACACTATGAATGATTTGTAAGCACACTATTGGGCAAAAGCTTCATTGAAAGCCATAAAATACTACAATGACAAATGAGTCTTTGCACATATGTGTATGTTCAAAAAAGATATTCTTTGACTGAGCATAAATGCATTGAAATCCCTGTCACTGCAGGTCTCTTTCAATATCTATTAATTGAATTTCAGTTAATGGATTTAGTAAGCCAATGTTCATGTTCAGGAGTCAACCTGAATCCTTGCTTACAATAACACTGGATTTTCTTTTAATTGGTAGGATCAATAACTAAATCATATATGTAAATATATGTGATTTATTGATTATATACATATATATATGTAAAATCAAAAACACAATCAAGTTGACCTTACAGAAGTAACCTCTTAGCTATTATATATAATCTAAAGGCAAAATTCATCTTTTTTTCCCATGACATGAATTCCCATATTATTCTAATCGATGTTTTACATCTAATTCTTGGCTGACAAGTACCCATTTTTCTATCACCCTTGAGTTCACTGTGCCTGCAAGGCACCCTCTCTGTCTTCCATCACATCTGTCTGAATGATGTGATATTCTCTACTTTCTATCGCACTGCTCTGAATGATGTTACTCACCCTCCTTACACAGCCACAATATAGGAAGACCAATGATCCTTATACAAACCAAAAGAGAGGTTTGATATCAAAACTTAGAAATAAATTTTCAGGAAGATGTAACTGCTTGGTGGGGTTAAATGTAATATTTTAGAAATTAAATAAAATTGATGAGGAATCTAAAGCCCAACCATTAAGACAATGTAATATTATATAATACCTATTGATGATTTAGAAGCATCTTTCTCTTAAGTGGGTACCTATGGTAGGTTTCCTTTGCTGAACTTTTCTCAATCAAGAAACAATGACCACAGTCATATGTACTCATGTGGCAGGAATTTACATACTGTCTGTGTGTGGGACCCCTGGCAGTGTGACTAGGATCTGTCTCTAGTGCAGGAGCTGGCTTTTTGAAGCCCCTTCCATATGATGAGATGCCTTGCTCTGCCTTGATGCCCAGAGCAGGGAGGGCTTGCCCTTACCTCAGCTGAATGTGTCAGGCATTGTTGACTCCCAATGGGAAGCCTTACTCTTTCTGAGGAGTGGCTGGGGGTAGGGTGGGAGGAGGTTGGAGCAAGGGGGTGTAGGAAAAGGAGGGGTAACTGTGGTTGCTATGTGGAATGAATTACGAATTAAATTTATTTAAAAAAAACTAAATACTTTATCAAAAGTTGTATCATGGTGTCAGTGAGGAGGCCTTGGCACTCTATGGGACCTCTGGTATTAGATCAGTATTTATCTGTGGCATTTGAATGGACTTTGGGAGCCCATTACACATGAAGGGATGCTCTCTCAGCCTGGACGCATGGGGAAGGGCCCAGACCCTGCCGTGGATGCTATGACAGACTTTTTGGGATCCCCCATCGAAGTCCTCACCCTCCCTGGGGAGCAGAGAGGGGATGCTGTGGAGGGTTGGTGGCGGGGGAAGGGGGTCGGGAGAGGGAGCTGGGATTGACATGTGACGCAGTCTTGTTTCTAATGTATATAAAAATAAATGGAAAAAAAAGTTGCACCATATCCTAACAGAAATTACAGCAAGCTGTACTCAAGCACACTTAATCATGGAAAACATAGTAGGTGCTCATAATGTTCTTTTCCCCTGGTCCTGTACACTTCCCAAACTAATGACTTCTCCTTACAGCTGTGCCCCATTGTGCTATTGACCTGCCTCTCCTTAAAGTTTCATTCCTGGTGGTCTGTCACTTCCTCTTCAGGTTTCCTCCCACCTCTCCAGTCACTCTCTGTCATTTTTGTTCTGAGTCCTTCTGCCTCAATATTTTTGTCCTCTTTTCTTTACACTGTCTTCTGTCCCCTGTCAGAAGCATTGATTTCTAGTACTGAGACAGCCAAAGCCTCACAGGGCAGGAGATGGTCACCCCAGTGAACATTTGGCATTTCTACATTCACTTATTTTGTCATTTTAAAGAAAGATAGTACAAAATAGTGAGTAGAGGCTAGTGATAACAATAAGCACATTACTGTGTAAAGAACAGCTTCACAAAGAAATGCCAAAGTCCACAAATATAATAGTGCTGTGCTTTATAAACCATGACTTAGGTAGACTGGATAATTCCTTTTGAGTATCCTATAGAAACACTAAACTCAAAATGTAACAAGAAGTTATCATCTCCCTCACTTTGCTAAGTTCAATACTTTGGATTTTGATATAATGCACTAGCACCAAACATAGCAACAGACTTACCTCAAATACCCAAATCTTCTGGAGTTATAATCTACATACATTGAAAAATATCTCTCCTCTCCTGTAATCAACTATCTGCTGAGTCCATGACTCTCTTATCCCCACCAGTCTACACAATCTGGCCCCTAACTGATTCCCTACTACTGCTACAATCCTGCTGTCCTTAGGGTAATACGGCAGTGAATTCAGTCCTTTGACCTTGAAGCACTGGCCATTGCTTACTGGGCAAAAAGGCTTCTCATTAACACACCCTCAGTTTACCTTTAAATCTTATTTCTATATATGACACATCTTTACCTTAAACAGCTCATCAAATCTCTACTGTGTCTAATTTTAAATATCAAGTGAAATTTCTTTAACTAGTTGGATATACACTTTCTTCTTGTTCTTAACCCTGTTTGTATATACTGATAAGTGAAATCAAGTCAGTATGTTATTGATTTAAGGACAAATTCCAGTTATGTTTCCTCTAGTACAGGCTAGATAGAAACTCTTCAGAGCCATTGTATGTAAACAAAAATCACACCATATTGTTAAAGTTTTATCCTATAAAAATTATTAGCCAGTATTTTTTTCACCAGCTACTATGTCGGCCAAAATCTTCACCTCAGTGCAGGTAAAGATAAACAGCAGTTATTGTAACAAAGAGAAGACTTTTATATTCCTGTGGGGGCACACATGGATGAGAAAGGATTTAGAAGAGTGTGTGGGATGGCAAGATATATAAAATCAAAGGCTAGCACATTCCAATACAGTATCAATTATCTTGCTGTGAGATTATGGTAACTTAGTGAGTATATTCCTCATTTGTGAAACAGGGATATAGTTGAGATATCTTTCATGTCATGGTAACCATTTGGATTCTAAATATTCATCTCAACCATACACTCAATTTTCCTGATGATTTTATCACAAATGCCCTACTGATAGCACTTTCTTATCCTTTGAAGAGGCTCTTGTCTTATTTCAGCTAAAATCAATCCATCATTTTCTTACAACCATCAGCATCTTGGAAGAGTCTCTCCTGTCAAGAAATCCAACCATGTAGTGAATATATAAGTGAACCTTTCCCTGGTGACTTTTTCTAGATGGTACTTTCTAGAAGGAACCTGTTAGAGAACATGCCTAGAGTCTTTGGGTTTTCACCTTATACTTCAGTAGGCTAAAATGGTACTTTCAGCTTCTTATATATTTATGAAGGATTGATGTGGGATGTCCCTCCGTATGCTACAAATATATGTTGCCTTTATTGGTTGATGATAAAGCTGTTTTGGCAAATGGCTAGGCAGAATATAGCTAGGCAGGAAATCAGAGTTACAGAGAAAAGATGGAGTTAGGGAGATACCATGTAGCTACTAGATGCCAGATTATTACCAGTAAGCTATAACCACATGGTGATACACAGATTAGTAAATATGGGTTAAATTAATTGTCAGAGCTAGTCATTAATATGCCTGAGCCAATAGCCAAACAATTATTTTTTAATATTAAGCCTTATAGTGGTTATTTGTGAACTGGTGGGTGGGACAAGAAACTTCCAGCTAGGTGGAAAGATGAAAGGACAGAGGCATTATTTTTTTATCGAAAACCACTGATTAAACTTAAGATAATGCTGTATTGTAAAGAATTGAACTGTTCACACAAAGGAAAATTCTAGATATTCTTAAGAAATGACCTGAATATATTTTACTTTTTAAAAAGTTGATAAAATTTGTTTAAAGTTTAAAGACAAACTTTTAAAAACAAAACAATTATATATTATTCAAGGATATATTAGTTAAAGCTTTCTCCTACAGCATGTACCTATGATATTTGAAAGATGATAGGCTGGTTTCTGACATTTTCATCTCTGTGTATTTTCCAAAGCTTCTGCATCTTGCTATAATAGCTCTAGCTGTACAAGCACATAATTAGGTACTTGGCATGTTTGAGAAGATATGAATACTTAATCTTCTCATTGAAAATGGCTACATGATTAGAAACTAAATTCTTTCTAGACTATTCTCAGCAGTTACCCTCTGTTTTCCCTTGTGCTTTCAAGACATTTCCGGAAGTTATATACCTTATTTGTGAATCCTCAAGGAGTCTTATTTTCCAACTTGAACAGAAGGTCACTTTTGATTTATGAATAAAAATATCCTGGATTTGCCATGATGTTAATAATATCAATTGTAAGAAAAAATATTTATGTGCACAAGGAACTCTGTCTGTAAGATTCAAGAAAAGGGGTTCTTTCAATTAAAAATGTGACCATCACAGTGGATTATCAAGAAACAATAAAGTGTAATTAAAGGATTTCAGTAATTATTAAAATAATAAAGGTTTTTATTGATGCTTAAAGTCAGTGCAGTTAATAGCATTTAACTTTCATAATTTCATCTACACTGAATATTTCTTCTCAGATTAGGGTATAATATCAACAGATGGATAAACTATAAAGATGCAAAACCACTAAACTGGGGAAAGTTTTGGTACTTTCTATAAGAAGACTGGTGTTATTTAGTTTTGACATGTATTTTATCACCCAAACCTTCTAGATCTACGGAAGACATTTGAGCAGGAACCCTTGGGAAAGGAAGTATCTCTGGAACAGGAAGTCTTACTCCAGTGTCGGCCACCTGAAGGGATCCCAGTGGCTGAGGTAACAAAAATGCATTGCATTTAGAAGTTGGCACTTAGTTATTCTAATAGAGGCCTAATCCATGGCTAATGGTGTAGTGAATTAGGGCATGGCATGATGAATGGTTGGTAATGGAGTCCTAACTGCCTGCTGCTGGCAAAACAGATTGATTAGGAACTGATTAATGACTTGGGAGTCAATTAGAATGCCCCACTGGACAAAGCCACAGGCAGCATGGTTTAATTTTATCATTCTCTTTCAAAACAATCAGAAATAATGTTTTTACTTTATCTGGCACCTATAGAAAGCAATACTATGACTAAATGTGCCATCAGTTGTATTACTGTTCCAGATGATGTAAGAAAAGAAATGTTAGTATAAGGAAGATGTGTCTGTCTTATAAGCCCGCACTGCACATTTGTGTTTCTCAGTCTATTTTTGTCATTGTGGAGATCAAAAAGCATATCCACTATCATAAATATGATCACTTTCATCCAGTAATATTTCTGTGAGTTTATGCATTGTTCTAGTTCTGCTTAAGTGAAGTCTATGGGTGGCTAATGAAGTATTATGGATCAGGTTTTTTGGCATGACTTTTTATCAGCAGCAATGTGTTGCTCTTTGAAAGAGTGTGTATTTGAGCAATTACCCTGCATGACCCATAGGAGAATGTATACTCTCCTGGGGACACTCACCATAATGTTACAGCATCCTGTTGAAGGAAACTAATACCATGTCTTTTATTTGTTAACAAATGCTTCCAACCTCTAGAACAATGTTCCCTTTACATGATTAATAAAAGACTAACTTATAGTGACCAACATGATTATCTATAGAATTCTCCAAATCCAAATATACTTTCGTTTGTCAAGTAACATAGCTGTATATTCGTTTAGGTTCCTTGCTAGCCTCCAAGTTTCAAGAAGTCATTTGAAAGATATACCATATATTGCATATGTGGAAAGAGACATATACCAGTTGTTATCATTCAGACCTAAAGCGGATCAGCTCATTTTTTCAGACAATAAAATCTTGAAATTCTGCCTCTACAAAAACAAAAACTCAAAAACTAATAATAATATTGACACTTTTAGTGATTAGTTATAAATATTTCACTTGCTGTTGGATTTCTCATAGCTTCTCAGTTTTAAAGATTGGTACAAAGTAGGAATCAGCTGAGGTAGCCAGACCCACAACAGCAAAACTGAACATCTGGTTCTTGTGAGTTAATGGTGGCAACAAATTACTTGAAAACATATACAAAAGGACTCCATTTTTCTGCCATAAAATTTATATCTCTGTTCCTCAATCTCAAAATCGCATATTTCCCTTTTTTGTCTGAATAAAGAGAACTATTTTCCCTTGTAATTAGAATCTCAGAACTCTTCTGCAGTAAATCAGAAATTGCATCATTATTACTCACTATCACACAATACCATATCGGCATCCCAAAATATAGGCTATGATTTAGTGTGGCTGAAATGAAGGACATTCTTCTCTATCCCGCATTTCACTTCAGTTATGCAACAGTGCATCTGTCTCCTTGCTTGTTGTTCTAAGGTAAACCTCTTCCATAAGCCACAGTAAAGTTCTAAACAGCCTATGAGCAGCACGGGCGTCTGTAATCTGGCTTCTGCTCTAACCATCCATTTGAGCTTCATGGGTATCCAGAGCTTTGTTCAACTCAAGGCAACTTAAAAGCAGCTGGTCCTCAGGAGCTGGCTCTTGCAAAGTCTTATGGAGAAACCTTGCTACTCTTCTTTTTTTTTCAGCTCAACAAAGTAGTTCACTTTGTCAAGGAGTAAAGATTCATGACTTCAAACTAATTGGTTATGAATTTTATGTGTATCATCACTGGGGAAGAGCCTAATTAACATTTGGCAAGCTCAAAAATCATATACCCATTTGACATTCAAAGAACTATATTTAATACATATTACTTTTTCTTTCTATTTTTTTCAGTCAGGAGAGTGATCAAACATACATGCTTAGAAGCAGGCTAATAAACTCCTGTGTAGATTCTTTTTAACACCATTAAAATCACCAAGATCAGAAAGCCAATGAATGCCTCAACATGACACTTTCCAGCTGCTGTTTGCTCAAGAGCAACAGAAAAAATGTAAAAAGAAAGGGATGAAAGTTAGCTTGTGAGTTAAAAGATTATTTGATCATTTTAGTTTCGATGTAAATGCATTTGGTATTTTATTTTCATTTATTTGTTTAATGATTTTGAAAGTATAAAAGTGGCATAAAATAAGACATTGATCTTTACATGAAACTAGCTGGTCAAATGCGTGTGCTTTGTGATCATTAGATCAGCCCCAAGGAGGTGAGCCTGGATCAATGTGGGCTTTGCTGTTATCCAATGCAACTGCTTCTGAGAGAAAATCAGATGTGAATGTTCAGTGAACACATGGCTGGTCAAGTCAGTTGATCTTTGTTTTGCATGCATGTGGCTGCCTTCATGAAGGAAGACGCAGTCTATGCAGATTGTCAGGAAGTGGTAATTGGCTTTTAGCTATCTAAACCAGCCATCTTTTACAAAAGAGTGTAACCTCGATTATGATCACATGCATTTGTGCATATAATGTCATAGGCATTGCTCCAGGGATAGCAGTGGGTTTCTTTCATTTGGGCATCCTTTAGACTCTTCTATGGAACAGCAATTGACTTCCTTATAAAACTCCAGGATTACATCCAAAGATGATCATGTTTTAACCTCTGACTTTAGGCAAGATACTTAAATCCTTTTCACTCAGATTTTTCAGCCAGATGAGGAAGATAATACTACTTATTTACAATGTTTTTGTGATATGTAATAACTTAGTATATGAACACTACTTAAAACTGTATAAAGACATAAAGGAATATCAACCATCATACTATACTATTATACATTATGCCATTATATTACATTGTTAATTCCCAGATACTGCACTCAATATCATAGTCACTGAACATTGCTCACCCTAAGCACTCTGTGATATATGAAGGAAGAACTTCTGCTAGAGAATCACCAAGATAGCACCTACATTCTACAGCCATTGGTTTGTTTGGAGACCATGAGTGCCACGCATAGAAGTGATGGTTTAAATTTAAAGCAGGTTGTCTCCTGCTAATGCTAATCAAGTCACCTGCTGTATCACTTTGTCATTATTGTGAACAAACACCTGCCAGGCAGAAACTTCAGGAAAAAGGAGATTTCTGTTTGCTTTAGACTCACAGTTTGAGGGGATACAGTCAGCTACAACGTAGATGGCATTTCAACAGAAGCGGGAGAGAGCTACTCACATTGCAGCTGCAGACAGAAAACAGGGAAAGGAAATGGGTGGGTATTACAAACCCCAATTCCAATCCAACCCCAGTATAACAAACTTCAATGCCCAACCCCAACCTCCTGCACCCCAGAAACCCTCTTCCTCCAGCAAGCTTCCACTACCAAAAAGCATCAAGACATTCCAAAATAGAAGGGTCAGCTGGGGACCAAGTCCACAGACACATGGGCCTCTGGGGAACATTTCGTGTTCAAAGCAAATGTCATGAAGTTATGCTGGCCTCAGTCATTAGCTACTGTCATTTATCTAGTCCTCCTAGTTTTGAGAGTCCAGAGGACCTTGTATTTGCTCCCAAGGAGGAAACTTGTTTTTTTTTTTTTGAGACAGGGTTTCTCTATGTATCTTTGGAGCCTATCCTGACACTTTCTCTGGAGACCAGGCTGGCCTCGAACTCACAGGCCCAAGGAGGAAACTTAAGCAGATGATACTGTTCACAGACATCTTTTCTGAGAGCCCAAGGGGCAAAAATAGTAAATCTCAAGTAAAGAAAGGACTAGCTAGCCAACAGTTACTTATGGTTCATTCCCCCAGGAGGACAATGTCTTTGAGTGTCATCTCACACTCATCAGTTAAGTAAAATGGAACAAATCACTAGGTGTTCAGAAACCTGGACCTTAATGTTTCTTCCTCTAATCTCCTTTCTACATTCTGTCTCTCAATATTCTTCCTGTTTTACTGGGGATGTTTTAAAAATGTTTAATAACTGCACAGCTCCTTTAGCATAGGCACAGGGTCCTGAGAACCTTAGGTTGTACTGAACATAATGCAGTCAGAGGCTAATTCATAGTCAAGAGATGATGCCAAGGAACCAGTCAGAATAAAGGGTTTGGGACACTCAGTTATTTGACAACATATTTAGAGCTGATCTAGCATTTAACACCTGGAGTGAGTAAATGTGTGGCTGGATAAACGGCAGCTCCTATACACTCTGATTTTATAACTGTTTGGAAATTTGTCTATTTACTCTTCTGCCTAACTATACTGTGCAGAGATAAGGAACACAGACTTGTGTAATTATTTTATCCCTAATGACAGCAAATTAGAGGTCACAATAGATTTTCAAGGTAAATTAAACCTAATAAAGAAGTCATGTTGGATATAATGAAGAGGCTACCCTTCTGGTAGTAGGAACTTTTAAAATTGTAACACTATTAATGAAAACCCAGTGACAGATATTGGTATTCAAGTTGAAGATCAGAGAAGCAAAGCATCCATCCAGTAGCTCTTATCTATACCAACACCAAACTGAAGATCCTGTCTTCCCTGTGACTGGAAACTAAATCTCTTTCTATCCTCTCAGTAGTTGGAGAGTAATTGCCAGTGCTGGAGACTGCTGCTTCTTCCTTATATACTTCTTTGGTTCTGGGATTAAAAGTGTGAGCTCTGTTTCTCTTTTAGATTGATTCACTCTTGAATAGCCCTGGATAGCCTTCAACTCAGAGAGATCCATCTACTCTGTCTCCTGGGTCCTGAGATTAAAGGTGTGTGCTACTACTGCCCAGCTTCCATAGTTAACTAGTGTGGCTGACTTTGCATTCTGATCTCCAATGGCTTTATTAGATCATAATCATATCATTACATAGGATGATACCTTTTACCTATGAAGATATAATCCTATTACAGCACCCCTTGTGAGATGATGTGATCTTGAGTATGAACCCGCAAACAGGATTCCAACTCACCAGG